AAATAGTATCCACCTCATGGATTTTTTTTTTTTAATTCACAACAGATAATACTGTGAAACTACCCGGCATATCATAGGCTTTCAATAAAAGTTCTATTTCTCTTTCCAACCTCTTTAATCATTTCATTAAAAGCTAATATATGGGGGCACCTATGTGGCTCAGTTGGTTTGAGCATCCAGTTCTTAATTTCAGCTCAGAGTTGTGAGATCACATCATGAATCCTCTGTGCTGGGCATGGAGTCTTGCTTAAGATTCTCTCTGTATTTGTCTTCCCTTCTCTCCCCACCCTACTCTCTCTCTCCCTCTTTAAAAAAAAAAAAAGGCTAATTTATGACGTATATAGGTGCTAATTACAGAAAGCATCCAAAATGTGAAGTATAATTTGTCCTCAGCTATTTAAATTTTTCTATGAATAAAAAAAGATGTCTAACTAGATTGGAAGCAAACATAATCTCTGGGTGGTAGGATTCTATTTTTTATCTTTGTATTTACCTCTTTGTTCTAATTTTGCTAAAATAAATATGTATTACTATTGTAAAATAAATATTTAATATTTCAATGAATGATGTAGTTTATAATCTATGAGCTGATACATAAAAAAATCACAAGGATTACTATAATCCAGTTTTTCATTTTTATTCCCTAGAGCATATTATATTACTAAATTATTAGTTAAAGAAAAATAGACTTGGTAGCAGAAGCGTTAAGAACTGCCACAGTTATGGACATCAGGAGAGAAGAAGAGGTGGGATTGTAAATAATGATTTTTTGTTAAGCTTTCTCATGTCATACCTGGGTTATTGCAACTATAACCTATCTTATCTCTCCACTTGCAGGCTTCTCACTATGGTAGTTCCCCTTTACCTGCAGAGTATGTGTTCCAAGACCTCCAGTGGATGCCTAAAACCACAGATCATACCGAACTTTATATATATTGTGTTTTTTCTGTACAGAACCATGATAAAATTTAATTTATAAATTAGACACAGTAAGAGATTAACAATAACCAACCATAAAATAGAGCAGTTATAACAATATACTGTAATAAAACTTATTTAAATGTGGTCTCTCTCTCAAAATATCTTCTTTACCCTTCTTTTTGTGCTAATGTGGGTTGATAAAATGCCTCTGTGACAAGATGAGGTGAGATGAACGATGTAGGCATTGTGATATAGCGTTAGGCTACTATTGACCTCCTAAGTACACATCAGAAGGAGGATCATGTGCTTAAGACCACAGTTGACAGTGGGTAACTGAAGCAACACAAAGCAAAACCAAGAATAAAGGGGACTACTGTATGGACTCTCATGTCCATGAACATGACTTCCTGTCACCTTCAGCCCATTAGCCAAATGGTCTCCCTTTAGCTTATATAACTGTCCTTTGCAACCAAAGGTACATTTGTCATTGTAGGATATGGTAGGCCAGATAGAAGACAGTCCCAGCATAATATTTACAAGTATTATACTCTCCCTCAAACTTCACATTTATCTATAAGGGTGAGTTTATTGTGAATTATTCTAGACCCCAATGGGCGTAACTTGGCTATCTGTCATACTTATCTGTGATCACAAGACACTTTCCTTAGTAATCTGGAATTCTGTTACTCCTGATTATAAACACATGTGCGCACACACACGCCTGTATACACCGCACATCATAGGAAAAGTAAGTGCTTTTATGGTACTGAAAAACAATTTGCCCATATTAAGTCAACTTCAAGTATCAATTTTTTAATTTTTTATTTAAATTCCAGTTAGTTAACATACAGTATAATACTAGTTTCAGGGGGTACAGTACAGTGAATCAACATTTCCATACATCATCCCATGCTCATCACAACAAGTGCACTGCTTAATCCCCATCACCTATTTCCACCATCCACTCACACCCTCCCCTCTGGTAACCATCAGTTTGTTCTCTAGAGTTAAGAGTCTGTTTCTTGGTTTGTCTCCTTCTCTCTTTCTTTCCTTTTCCCTATGTTCATTTGTTTTGTTTCTTAAATTCCACATGAGTGAAATCATATGCTTTTTATCTTTCCCTGACTGACTTATTCACTTAACATAGTACACTCTAACTCCATCTATATTATTGCAGATGGCAAGACTTCATTCCTTTTATGGCTGAAAAAATATTCCATTGTGTATATACACACATCTTTTTATCCATTCATCAGGTGATGGACACTTGGACTGGCTCCATATCTTGACTGTCATAAATAATGCTGTAGTGAATGCAGGGGTGCATGTATCACTTCGAATTACTGTTTTGGTATTCTTCGGGTAAATACCCAGGAGGGTGATTACTGGATGTATAGGTTTTTTTTTGTAACTTTTTGAGGAGCCTCCATACTGTTTTCCAGAGTGGCTGCACCAGTTTGCACTCCCACCAGCAGTTCAAGAGGGTTCCTTTTTCTCCACATCCTTGCCGACATCTGTTGTTTCTTGCATTGTCGATTTTAGCCAACCTGACAGGTGTGATGTGATATTGCGTTGTAGTTTTGATTTGCATTTCCCTGATGATGAGTGCTGTTAAGCATCTTTTCATGTGTCTGTTGGCCATCTGGATGCCTTTGGAGAAATGTCTGTTCATGTTGGAGACCAAACTTCTTAAGCTGGCATTCAGGGCCTTCCACAAACTAGTATCACTCTCCCTTTCATAGTTCCCATTACTCCCATGACAAACACATTACTGTATCCCATTCATGCAATATATACTGACAGCCAAATGCTTTCTATAAAATGCCTTATGTAATTCTAACAATAGCTCTGTGATTGCATACCACCCTCATTTTACAGATGAGGTTTAGAACCAGAGATTTATGATCTTCCTTAATATCACACAGACCGTTATTGACAGAACCAGGATTCAAACCATTTGACTGACTCCAAAGCCAATTTTCTTAACTTCTTTTCTAGCCATATGGGTCTCTCTGTTCACCATCACTGTAACACATACCCTATTACTCTTCTGTGGTTTTTTTTTTTTAAAGATTTATTTATTCAAGAGAGAAATTTTAGAAAGCACGCATATGAGTGGGAGAGGAGTAGAGGGAGAGAGAATCTCAAGCAGACTCCCCACTGAGTGTGGAGTCCAACACAGGCTTGATCCCACAACCCTGAGACTGTGACCTGAGCCAAAATCAAGAGTCAGACACTAAACTGACTGAGCCACCTAGGCACCTCTGTACACCCATGTTTTTAATCATAATGTTTACTCCAACTCAAAAGCCTTCATGTCCTTTAAAGTTTACCTCAGAATTTAACCTTTCTGTGCAATCTTTGAACCGCCTGCCTACCACCTTCCTCTGACCCTTAACCATCTAATGGCTTTAGATTGTCATTTAGTTCATTAGGTTGAAGGTATTGTCTTTCCAACCACATAATTAGTTGCTTGATGGCAGAAGCCATGGAAGCCAGAGTACACAAGTAAATAATCCCTAAGGTTATGTTCTTTGATTTATATTTCTTTCTGTCACCTACAGTTCTGTGCCCCTAGTAAATGCTCAAAAATGGACTCAAAACTAATAACTTCTCAAAGATATTAGACTCTCTCCTCCTGTCATTAAAGTAAGATAGTTCACAACTCTGTGATTTTGAAATTAAATCTCTAAATTTTGAATTGACAACTTCTCTGGAGGCTATTACGTTTAATAGGTACTATATCATATCATGTAATGCCGGAATTAATATTCAGATTAGTATTTTTAAAAGAAAAATCATAGTAGGGCAGCCCCAGTGGCGCAGCAGTTTAGCGCCACCTGCAGCCTAGGGTGTGATCCTGGAGACCCCGATCAAGTACCACATCGGGCTCCCTGCATGGAGCCTGCTTCTCCCTCTGCCTGTGTCTCTGCCTCTCTGCCTCTCTGTCTGCCTCTGAATAAATTAAAAAAAAGGGGGGGGCCTCTTGGTAAGAGATCTCATTTCGAAAGAAAAGAAAGAAAGAAAGAAAGAAAGAAAGAAAGAAAGATCATAGTAAGTCAACTTTGTGACTTTAAATAGTTTGAAGTGATAGAGGATAAATTTCCAGTTTCATCCCATCCCTTAGCCTTGATGGACCTTTTCTGAATAAGAGACAATGTGGTTTTTTATCTATTCAAGGCAAATTGTAAAGCTTTCTCTATTACCCGGCCTTTCAGAACAGTGGGAAAGAACCTTAGGAAAGAGGGAAGGAAGAGAAAACCATAGCAAAAAATAGGGGTCTTGGATCTGTTTCCCCAAACCAAGAAGTGGCAGAGACTCAGGGAGCAGAGGGCTTTTGTTCCTACAGGTTGAAGGTCATTGAAAGGGGTAATACAACTATACCTGGTGAGGCTGTGAGTGAATTTGAGATGATAATCAAAATGAAGAGAAAGGCTATGACAACCTACTTCAATATCTTTGAGATAATTTGAATTTACGCCTCCTTCCTTCCCCCACATAAGTGTCCCCACTACCCCTTCTCTTCCTCCCAGCATCTGAGCCTTTATTCATCCTGATGTATAGTTCAGAGGAAACTACATGAATCCATGCCATTGATTGGTTTTGTTGTTTGCTTAAAAATTGATTTGGAAATCTCCATCATCCATTCTGCCTTAATTTACACCTTGCAGTGCTATGGAACGTTTAGAAGGACTGATTTGTAACAGACTTAATCTTTCCCAAGAAATAACAAGACATATATTTGTAAGATAATTACATTTCAAGTGATCAAGAACGACTGTAGGTGTGAAAAGAGATTCAGTAATAGTCAGACCTTGGGGGGGAAGTCAAAAGATTTTTACTTAAATATCTTAAGGAATGTGCTAAATCAGAATTCACTGAACAACAATAGCGAACAGAAAAGCTTTTAAAGTGAAAATTATATGAGAACATTCATTTATCAGAAGATGGAATACCTGAGCATTTTGTGAAAAGAACTTTTTGAAAGGAAAGCTGTTTTGTTGTTTGAGGCTTTGAGGGAGGTGGCGTTGCTGTTGTTTTCATTTTTCATTGTTCCTCATTGAGTCTCTTCCATTCAGGAAAATTAGGTGGATTTACACAAGAAAATAACACCATAGATTCTGGAGAACTTGATATTGGCCGAAGAGCAATTCAAGAGGTTCCTCCTGGGATCTTCTGGAGATCACAGCTCTTTATTGATCAGCCACAGTTCCTTAAATTCAATATCTCTCTTCAGAAGGATGCATTGATTGGAGTATATGGCCGAAAAGGCTTACCACCTTCCCATACTCAGGTAAAAGTAGGCTTTGTTGTCAATAAAGTGGAAACTGCTAGTTTGCATTTTTAAAGTTATTCTGTTTCTTAAGTTCAGCTGTTTAACTGTTGGACCACTTTCGTATTGATCTTTCACAGTGAAGAGAATTTTGAACGTAGGTTACACTTGAGGTTTTCGAATTAGTAGGAATAACAGCATTTTCTTCCTGACTTGCGTTAATCGTTATTGATGGATTAAAATGTACTAAAATTTGTGAGTAACTGAATGAATATCGAACATCGTCTGAGCACCTAGCAAAACATCATGGATTTTCCAAGTGTTTTACCAAGATTCTATGAGAATTTCAGACAATATTCCTTTTGTGTAATAGATGCATAGTATTTTTATCTCAAACAATGTATTCATGCTGTTGAAAATATATTGTATTTTTTCTACTTAATGCCAGATTTACTGTTTGTAAAGAAATTATAGGAACATAAACATAAATATGATGATGTAAACTTTATCAACTGAAGCCATGATTCCTCGAATAAAGAGGCAAAAGAACTTCCATAGATAACCAAGGGTGATGATCATCACTTTACTATAGAACTCAAAACAGTTCAAATACCCTTCAGTCTCACGTTCAAGGAACTTTAAAGTCAGTCTGCTTGCATGAAAATTATGTCATAATAACAGTACAGAGAGCTGCTATCATAATTCTGCAATCTTTCTCATAATCTAATACTGGATCAAGGCATGTAAGATGGAAATTGTGGTTTAAAAGAGGTCCCATTATGTCTAACAGAAATTATTTAAATTACCTACTATAATATCGGAGCTCAGACTTTTCCTAGGGTCAACTATTATGTTAGTCAACAGAGGAATCCCAAAAATATAATAGATGGTTAATTACTGTTGACAACTGGATAAAGCCTGAAGTTATACTTGATAATTAGTTTATGTACCCATAGAATTTCATGTAGATTTTAACTTGATTTATGAGATGAGGACTGGAGGGTTTCCATGTATGCTTTATAGTATATAATTTTGTGAGAAATGCTTTTTTTATAACCTAGGAATATAAATCATAAAGAAAATTGATCATATGCCAATAAAGGAATCATATCTTTTGAGAAAGACGAGTAAGAAACTTTGAATATGCTTTGTCTTATATCACTGTAGATCAGGGAAAGTTTATATATATATATATATATATATATATATATACACTCATATATATATGGGTAAGTTTCATATATATGTGTATATACACACACACACATAAATTATATAGCTATAAAATTTTTCAATATCATGCTTTGGTATATTCATTTTTCTGATAACATTTTTCATATCTACAATATTGAAGTAAATGCCTTTGATCCTTGCATATTAAATACTCCACATTGTGTGCTAGTATCCAATTTAAATTTTTGATTACAATTATATTTGACTATGCTGTAGGTGATGGAGTATACAGTGTAATAATCAGATTGTCTTGAAGGGAAGTGGGTCTCTTTAAATTCACATAAAGCAGACAGATTGTATTTATTATCAACAGTCCAGTGAAAGACAAAAATATTTTTTTCGTTGGAACCATAAATACATGTTTAAATCACTTTTTTTTGTGACTGCAGAAATATACCTCCACAGTGGAGGTATATATACTCACAACAGAGGAGGTATATATACTCACAACAGTGAGTGTGTAACCTATAAGTTCCAGAAAATAATTTCAAAAGGAAAATGTTGTATATGTTAAAGATTCATTAAGATTTAGGTTGGCTCTTTCCAAGTTATATATACCACAGAAGATTAGGGAAATAAAAAAGTGCAGTTTCAGGTTTTCCCATTCTTCTGGTATTTAAATTCTTCTGGTATTTAAATACAATATACATGATACTCACTTTCCCTTTCCACCACAATATATGTGTTTAACTAGATTACGCATTTTCTGAAGCTCCACAGTTATTAGAGTTCCTGCCTCTGGTTTATTCAAGATCAGCAGAGCAAACAACTGTTTCTGACTTAAGTGTTTAAACATGAAATATGCTATAAAGCAGCCCAAATTGAACATTTCTCTCTTTCTGGGGAACGCTAAATAAATCAACCTGAAATAATTAAAATTGGCCAGCCATTCAGAATAGTCACTTGAGTTTTGAAAGTCTTTGTGACCCTTTATAAAACTGTCCATTTAATTGTTACCAAGGAATCAATTGACTTTCCTCTTGCTGATGCCCAATTCATTCTCCTAGTTAGAAGCCTAAGGAAGCAATTTAATGCTTTACAGTTGACAGTATACTGACTGTATCATTTAAGTGCATTTGCATGAAGGCTGTCTCAGTAGTTGGAGACCTGAGTTCTGTAAGCATACACTCCTGCCACTTTTTGACCTTGTGACCTGGAACAAAGCACTTCTCTGCACCCATGTCGGTCTAGAAAAGAAAACCATTGGATCAGATGGTGTCTAAAATCTCTTACTCCTCTGTATGGCAGTCATTTACAGCAAAACCATGCCATGATCAAAAAGTTGATTTAAAGATACAGTTAATGGGATGCTTGGGTGACTCAGTAGGTTAAGCATCTGCCTTTAGCTCAGGTTATGATCCGGGGGTCCTGGGATCCAGCCCCGCTTTGGGCTCCTGCTCAACAGTCTGCTTGTCCCTCTGTCCCTTCCCTTGTTTGTGCTCTCTCTCTCAGATAAATAAAATCTTCTTTAAAAAAATACAGTTAAGTATTCATAGATTCTGAGTTCTTATCCTTTTAATAACTGAACTAAGCATATGGATAGTCCGTTTAAAAATGAACCACTAGGGATCCCTGGGTGGCACAGCGGTTTGGCGCCTGCCTTTGGCCCAGGGCGCGATCCTGGAGACCCGGGATCGAATCCCACGTCAGGCTCCCGGTGCATGGAGCCTGCTTCTCCCTCTGCCTGTGTCTCTGCCTCTCTCTCTCTCACTGTGTGCCTATCATAAATAAATAAAAATTAAAAAAAAAAAAAACTCTTTAAAAAAAAAAATGAACCACTAGAATAGTTTTATCAAGTCTAACCTTTGTTTCATAATTACCACCCCAAAGTGATAAGACTGAATGTTATTCTAAAAATAGCCTAAGATCCTGAGACTTGCCCCCACCAAAAAAAAAAAAATCCATGTCTCCATCTTACGAATGGGTATTAATTTCAAAGTAAAGCCAGTAACCCAAGTCTGTCCATAAGTCATTGCTTTATACTTTACACCTTGAGAACAAAAATTATTAACTATTTTTGTTCCGTATGATTTGTTTGCTTTTTGTAGAGATAGGTTTAGAGTTAAGTAGAGGACTTGTCTTTAGGTGTTTGAATAACCCTCCTGAAGGCGTGTTTGAAATGCCCCTACAGAAGACCCTAAGCAAATTCTCAACAACTGTGGCCTCCCGCCCACCACCACCACCATACCCACCACTCCAGCCTCATTTTCTTGTTCACGGTGTGATACAAATAGAGACTCCTACAATGAAGGTGGTGACTATGAGTATGAGCTTGAAAGACCAGTTAAAACTCAAAATTTCCTCCCTTTCAATTTTGCTGTTATTGTGCTTAATGTCAGAGGAGAAAAATGTTTATATGCAAAGGAGCCATAAAAAGAAATTTTCCCTGCCTCTTTGCCATGCTAATATAAATATTTAAATCTGATGAGAAAATGAATAGCTTATTTGAGATACAGGCATCTTTCGAAAGTGCTGAATTCATTTTCCTCTGATAATTTTGGAGGACAATTCCAGTGAAAATTTTGCAAGTTAAATATCCATACCAGTGATTATTTTCATCCTTGTAAGGTAGAAATGAAAAAAGTTATTAAATGCTAACCAAGTTACAGCTTTTTGTGTGTATTTCTCATAGCTGCATGATGCCTTAAGGTAGTTTCAGTACACACAAAAAAAATAACAAAAAATGTTTTTACATTTAAATAAAAATTTTAGTACGTTGGAAACTGAATGAGATATTCTAGATTTTGTCCAGTAGTAACATTAGAGGTCTTTGATCTGTACAGTGGCGACACATTTAATCATGAATCTTGGAATCCCAACAGCCAGTTTTATTCCAATTTGATTATATTAAGGGATTTATATAATAAACTTCTCTTTAAACAGTCCCCGGATGAAATTCCATTTCAAGAATCTATCAGAATAGAATATTGGCGATTTGCATAGACAGTACTGTAACATTATATATATTGCACTGTAGTGTATTTTTCACCATAAACACAGCCCTCAGGAATCAAGTGAAACTGGGGAAGAATCTATAGAAACTGAATCCCTTTACTTGTAAGGAGCTTTTATCTAACAAGTTTATTAAACCTGTGTTGGAAAGTCTTTGCCATGTCTTCCAAACTCACTGCATTATCCCTGATTACCAAGCTTTACTACTGTCACTCACCTTCCATATTTTTAATTATCTTTAAATCCTCCAGTTGAATTCTGCTAGCAACACAACATTATTGGTGAATCTTACTAAACCAAAAATGAAGTTAACTGACGTTCACTTCCTAATAATAACTGGGTGTATTTACTGTTACTGTCATCTCTTCGGAACTCCCTCCCCATTGTTTAATTTTAACTATTACGGAGTACAAAGCCATGGGTTTCCTTCCCCAGATGCCTGGGATGGTTGCATGAGGGTCACAGAGAGGAGTACGGTGGGTGGTAGGAAAGACCTGAGCTTTCTCACAAACCAATGCCCCTGCTTACCAGGGATCTACCCCTACTCAAGGGCCTGAAGGCTTGGTTTCCTTCATCTTCACAGTGGAAACACCGACACCTTCCTAGAAGGGTTGCCACGATGATTCAGTATAATGCTGACACAGAGTGCATATCGGTGGCAGTTGTTGCCACATAGTAGTAAGTAGGAGAACACCTTGTGAGATTAACAAATGGTCTAAAATTAGGTTGCCAGGTGTGACATGTTACAGGTTCAAGGTCATATCCATACACGGCCCGAACTTATCAAACACCTTCTCAGTTGCAAGAGTCCAATCTGATTCCAGAAACCGAGTGCGCACTAAGGGGAAAATGATTGTCCAGTTTCTGTAGAACAACAGTCTGCGGTGGGTAGTTCTCTTTCGTAATCCCTGTAGGTGCTACGCATAGAAGGACCTATCAGGGACCTTTCCCTGACGTTGTCTTTAGTAGAGCTGAGGGGAAACAGTGGGTAAAAAAAAAAAGAGAGAGAGAGAGAGAGAGAGAAGCAGCACCATGGAAATGTTTCTGACCACTAACCAGCTGTACTTGTCCCCACCCTCAGTATGACTTTGTTGAGCTCCTGGACGGCAGCAGGTTGATTGCACGAGAGCAGCGGAACCTGCTGGAGCCCGAAAGAGCAGGGCGGCAGGCGAGATCCGTCAACCTGCACGAGGCTGGCTTCATCCAGTACTTGGACTCTGGAATCTGGCATCTGGCTTTTTACAATGACGGGAAAAATGCGGAGCAGGTGTCCTTTAATACCATCGTTATAGGTAAGCACGGTCCTTGAAGCCTCTTTTTCCGGGCTGTGGTCTAAACAGTGTGTTGAATAGAAACTCAGTTGTCTTCCCCGATTTGGAGTGATCCCTGGGGTGATGAAGCCTGAGGTCTAATGTGATGAAATCTAACATGAGAACTATTTTTAAATTTTTTATTTACAAATATGTGACACGCCACGAAGCACTAGAAGAACCTATGACTTGGAAGTGTCTTGGCATCTTGAAAACACTTAAAAAACATCTGCCTTTGAAATGGCCATGCTTTGCTTTACTATTGGAATAATCAGGTGGCTTGCTTCGCTTTGCTGTTGGAATAATCTGGTAGCTTGCTTTGCTTTGCTATTGGAATAATTTGGTGGAAGTGAATCCTTGGCCCGGTCGTGGAGCAGGCCATCCGTGATTCCCTCAACGTGGAGCTAGGATGACCAAAGTGACGCAGTCTACCACGTGCAAGCAGCAGGCCAGCCAATGAGTATTCCTTTTCTCTCTTTTCTTCAGAGTCCGTGGTGGAGTGCCCCCGAAATTGCCATGGAAATGGAGAGTGCGTTTCTGGCACTTGCCATTGTTTCCCAGGATTTTTAGGTCCGGATTGTTCCAGAGGTATGCGAGTCCCAGTCCTTTCTTAAGCCCATGAAAACAAGCTGTAGAAACAGGAGTAATTCGGACCCTGGGCAGAGCAAGAACACCGGGGGAGGGAAGGCAGCATAGCCCCCCACAGCCCTGCGCCTTTTCCCCTGGCTGTCACCCCCGAGGGTGGCTGCTAACTGCCCTGTCGTGGTCTGTTTCGCAGCAGCCTGTCCGGTGCTGTGCAGCGGCAATGGGCAGTACTCCAAGGGCCGCTGCCTGTGCTTCAGCGGCTGGAAGGGCACCGAGTGCGACGTGCCCACCACGCAGTGCGTTGATCCGCAGTGTGGGGGCCGTGGCATCTGCATCATGGGCTCCTGCGCCTGCAACTCCGGATACAAAGGAGAAAATTGTGAAGAAGGTAAACATGCCAATATTTACGGAAATCTCTTGTTCTCCGCAGAAAGGAAGAGATTATCTTTGTGATCTTCCATGTGGCAGGTGCATCTCTTTGTGGGCCTCCCCGTGAAAGTACTGTTCATTTCCACACTGACCCATGCATCGTTGTGTTAACACGTTGACTGATTTAAAAAAAAAAAAGCACAAATGCCCAAAGGAACCCCTTTGCTCTCAGTAGTGTGAATTTTTCCCCCCACTCTGAGGAAGCAAGCAAACACTTGTGTCTTGAAACCAGAGATGGACAGTTGTTTTGTTTTGTTGGTTTTTTTTTTTTTATCTTTGCTTTTTCAGCGGTGGTGGGTTTTTGTTGTTTTGTTTTGCAGTTTCTCACTTGGATGCCAGCTTTTAAGTCTAGTGTTGTGGCATCTCTAGGAAGACAGGCTATATTGCACGTGATATAGAAGTGGAAAAAAATACATCGTGGCCTTGCTCTATAACTGTATGTAATGATGATAGTCAAGATGCTGTACTGTAAAGTGCAGTTGAATTGTTTTGGTTTTTTTTTCAAAAAGCAGAAAAGCACCATTTCCGTTCTTCAATCAAATTGATTTTATTGATCTGCACACAGAAAGTAATGCAATTAAGTCTCTGGAATTAAATTTTCAGGCCATTGACCCTACAAGTGTAAAGTTTTATTGAGTCAAATTGCTAAATTAAATCTCGTCATCTAAACCACATTAAAGTGAATTAAGAAGGATAGAGAGTATGCAACTCATTTATTTCTCAAACAGTTTGAGGGTCCCATACAGCTCAATGTTGTGGATTAGGTCAGCTGATACGATTTTGTTACTGAGAAGCCAATACTTATTACTATCTGATTAAGCAGAACAGAGAGCAGTAGCCTGAAATCTCAGGAGCATCTATGTGTGTAATTTGTAAAAATTACAAATCCTTGCAAGAGTCTCAATTACCTAACTGGCGTGATTCTCAATGCCATCTTATAGGATTCTTTGCATTTTCAGAAACCAGTTCTCAAAAATGGTAAGGAAATAGTTGAGTATCCAAAATCATCATATACGTAGGGTTGGGATTCAGTTCTTTATCCTGCGTGTATTACGTATGTGTGACATCTTCTAGATTTAACTGTGAAATAATTCTTTTTTCTCTATTGCAGCTGACTGTCTTGACCCTGGGTGTTCCAATCACGGTGTTTGTATCCACGGGGAATGTCACTGCAGTCCCGGGTGGGGTGGCAGCAATTGTGAACTGGTGAAGACCTTGTGTCCAGACCAGTGCTCTGGTCACGGAACGTATCTTCAAGAGAGTGGCTCCTGCACCTGTGACCCTAACTGGACTGGCCCAGACTGCTCAAATGGTAAGGTGCATCAGTGCAGTGTGATCGAGTACTTAATATTGTGTAGCTGAAGATTAAGATATCTTAATTTTTAAAAACACTTACTGAATTTAGTGTAGATTGTATTGAAGTTATGATTTATAGAAATGAGTGTTAAAAGTAATGAAATTCCATTGCCTGATAAGAAGAAACCAGCTTTGTCAATTTGTCATTAACATTTCTCCATTAGTTGCATGGTAAAAAAAAAAATACTATTTCATTTGTGTAAAGAACAACATCTTCTTACCTCTCAAGGCCTGTGTAGAGCTTGGGGATTTAAGCACATTATCTCATAAACAGAGAAGCTCAATTAAAAAATAATTTGACAACATAAGGCTAAACATGATCACGGCAAAGAGTATACATATATAGATATTATGATGTGCATAATGGTCCAACACTGATTTTTTTTTTAATTATAACAGTATTATTATCATAAAAATGGCAGGTAGTAATTTTTTTTCAATCAGTCGGTCTGTTATTGAGCAACAGCTATGTGCATGCATGGCATGGTGATGAGTCCTGAAGGGATAAAGAATAATGAATTCTTCTTACCCTCTCGGATAGTGGCTTTCAAATTTTTGACCATAACCCACAGCCTTAAACAGTTTTACATTGTGACCCTACTGTATATAATACACTCACATAACTGAAACAAAGCTTTACAAATTGATACACACAAGATGCTTTTCTCCAAGGATGTCCTGTTTTTTTGTTAATGCTGGTTGTATCCCATGAATTAATTCCATGACCACATTAGTGCCACAGTGTGAAAAGGTACTGTTCTAATCTGGATGATTACAGTTTAATTGGGCAGATGAGATCAAATGCACCCGAAATACTTGGAAACCAATACACCCCAGTTTAATATTTTATTGGATATTACATGGAATAATATGCTAAATACAGTCAACATTCAGAGGAGTGCCCTGCCTTGATGACATTGGAAGTTTTCAAGGAGATTTTGGTTAACATTTGTCACCTTCTTTCAAGACGGTAGTTAGTGTGGGGATGGGAGAAGGTATTTTTCGACTAGGGGAACAGTATGAGAAAGTACTTCATAGCATAAACTCTGAGATCAGATGCTTGGGTTCACACCCAACCTCCACTACTTAATAGCTGCGTAAACTTAGGCAGACTATGGTATGCTTTAGTTTACCCATCTGTTAAATGGATTTAACCGAGACATGCTTTACAGAGATACTTTGGCAAGTGCTTGAATTAACGTCTATAAAGTACAAGGCTTAGTCCAGAATCCATTCCAAATAGAGCTGCCACCTCCACTGCTATGACTGTTACTACTACTACGACAACCACCAATAGCAAAGATCCAACTATGAGATTATTGTTCTACACGTGGGAGAGTAAAGGAAAGCTATTCGGAGGTAAAGCCTGGGTTGGGCCCTGTTACGAGGGACGCAGCTTAGAAATGATGGTTCAGACAATGGAGAATCCACTTGTCCTGACAATGTGCGCCCACCAGTGTGATGAGAGCAGTATGTGAGAACTCCCCAATCGATTATGTGTCAGAGAGCACGACTAGTTGGAATTTGATGGCCGGAAGGCAAGTTTGAGAGCTTTCCCAGAGTGTGAAGGGCTGAGAGCGTGAATTCATTTGGAGTTTGTAGAAATGAAGAGGATAAATCGGAGGGCCGTTTTAAAGGAGAACTAGATGGAGCCTGCAGAAGAGACAGTACAGAGTTGGTGCAGAGAGCCGAACGTCTGCAGCAGGGTGGGCTGGGGCAGTGGTCATGTCTTTGGGAAGGAGTGAGGCAGGATGCAGGGGAGGCAATGGGGAGAGAGGGGGGAAGGCAAAGGGACAGGTCTTATTAACACTGTTGAGTCAATAAAAACGAAGGCTTGGCTGCAGGGAAGCCCACACTGATTGCCTTCTTCTCTGAAGCCCTGTTTATAACTGAGTGGTTCAGAGCAGGCGATCTGGAGATGAAGGGCCTGAGTTCGGGTCTAGCGCTGGCTGTTCCCTACATCTGTAATGTCAAATCAGCTCTTTAAAATGCTTCTCTGCACCTCAGTTTCTTTCCTTGTAACATGTGGATGATAAGAGCAGTACCCTATACAATCGTCAGAAGGTGGAAATGAGTTAACAAGTGAAAAGCACTTAGAACAGTGCCTGATACTTGGCAGGTACTTAGTAAGTGGTACCCGTTAATAGAAGTGGTGATGGTCATAGTCGTGGTGGTAGCGTTCCAAAGGCGATCTTAGCCTTTAGAGTTTGTAATCGTCATTCTTCATTGATTCAGGGGAGCGTCCCCAGGAAAGTACTACTTGGCTACGGTTCCCCCAATTGTGAAATTTATGAAATGCAAATTATCTCATCTGTTAGTATAACCTAATGGCATTAACCTAAGAGAAATCCCACTAAGGTGGTGAATTCACATGCTTATTTTAAAGGAGAAAAAAAAAAGACTAGTAATTTTTACAAATCTCTCTTTCCTGGCACTTTGAGAAATTTGGATGACATGAATTACCAGCAGCATGAGATTTCTGTGCCATTCTTCACCGACTGCAGAGAATCCTGGAAGCTCACACTAAAGATAGTTTTGTACAGGATAAATTGTGATATTGATGAAAAACTTCTGTTGACGCCTCAAGTAGATATCCTAGGTAAAGGGGCAAAAGGACAATGATGCACTCTTTTCCCTACATAGTCACTCTCATTTCCCCTCCCCCCTCTTTTTCTCCTTCCTCCCTCCTCCCTCCCTCCCTACTACTACCTGGTCCTACTCCCTTGGCTCCCTTCCCTCCTCTCTCATCCTCAACCTCCTACCTTCTCTTCCTTCCTTTTCCTCTGCCTCCCTCATCTTTTGGCCATACATTTTTGGAAGCAGACAGGTTGATGTTCCTTACAGCTTCATAGAAACATGAGTTGATTCACATAGCTTGGAGGACCAGAAACTGGTTAGAAAATTCACGATCACAAGAGCAATTAACATGTACAGGACAAATGAGAGTGAAAACATAAACTGCGGTGGGATTATAGAGGACCTTGAATGGCCCCACGATAGAGTTCTAGGAAATCATCACCCAACATTATCAAGCATAGGTGCGAGGCATTATTTAAATAACACATTAGCTTGTTTTGTCTTCCGTTCTTAAAAAATGTATTTTATAATCACAAGAATCAAAATAGGCATTTAATTATTTCTGTTGAGTTTTTATTTCCCTTTCTGGCTTCCGTACTAAAAAAATGCATCCCACCAAAAAAATCCAATTAAAGTTTATAGATATAATTATTTTTATAGTAAAGCTACTTGGTTCAGGTCTCCTATGCCTTCATCAGTAAAATAAGCATAATAATACGAGCTATAAAATAATACTGGTTTGAAATATTGCCATTCTAATTTGTCTCCCACAATTATCAGAGTAGGAAAGAAATAATGAAACAGCCCTTTTTGTTTCATATAATGTTATTTAATACATCACCTGAATCATTTTATAAAGGATCCTTTGTAATTGATACTGTAGCTCAAAAGATAATTCAGCCCTGGGGCGTCTGGCTGGTGCAGTCAGGGTAGCATGCAACTCTTGATCTCAGGGTTGTGAGTTCAAGCCCCCTGATGGATGTAAAGATTACTTTTAAAAATTTAAAAATAAAATAAAATTTAAAAAGATGATTCAGTTGTGTTCATAAAATGATACTGCCATGCAGCCCCGGTGGCACAGCGGTTTGGCGCCGCCTGCAGCCCAGGGTGTGATCCTGGAGACCTGGGATCGAGTCCCACTCAGGCTCCCCGCATGGAGCCTGCTTCTCCCTCTGCCTGTGTCTCTACCTCATTCTCTCTGTGTGTCTCTCATGAATAAAATAAATAAAATCTTTTAAAAAATGATACTGCCATGAATGACAGAAAAGACAAAAAGGTATAGATGTTAATTAAAAGATTAAACTGGCTGCCAAAATCACCTATCATTATTTTACATATTTAGACTGATTTTCTACATTCTAATATAATTATTTTGCCAGCTGAAAATCTAATTTTACCTGTATACAAAATGACTGCTTAGACGTAGTGAGTGAAGATCTTAATCCTATTCATCTTTCTACCCCCAATGCAAAGCAGAAAACCATATATTAAACTCTCAGTATATAGAGTTGAATAATTAATACAGTACTTTTTTTTTTGGAAGAGACTAACCACAGGAAACAAAGACTTTATTAAACTTCACAATTAGCTACAAAAAGACAGAAAACTTACTTAGAATTATTAGTAAGGAGATCAAATATGCATATATTCATCCTCTGAAAATATCCTGGTTCTTGTGCCTGAAATGTATCTGCACGTTGCACAGCTGTCCTTGGAAGTTTACAAAAACATTGTTGGTAACTTACATCTGTGGTTGAAGAAACTTTCAGCATTATTGGGAATTTCTAACTAACTAAATCCTAAAGCAAAACACTTTACAAAGCTGCTTCTTTTGTTGTTGTAGAAATGACCTTCAAATATCTAAATTCAATAAGAGTAGACTCTATACCTGCAGAAACATTTGGTTAAGCTGCTAAAAGAGAAGAAATGAATTCTTTTCATCAGAAAGTTTATAGGTTTGAAAGCAACAGAGCTTTCCTCTATCTTCATCAGCAGTTTGTCCATTAATTAGCCCTTCAATTCCACTTCAATTAAATTAACTCTAATTAATAAGTTCATTACAAAGATTGACGCACCTTGCTCAAAGCTAGTGTGCTAAATGCTGATAAACACCTTCACCCTAATGAAAAATTGATTAGATTGAATAAAAGGGGTACCTCAGAAAGAAACCTCTCTCTTCTGGAGCTGAGTTGACGTTCTGTTCGTCTGAAGTTAATCACCATCTTAGATCTCTTAATCAAAAATTTAATTCAAACGAGATGGAAAATGTAGCATGAAAAAACATATACCACTCTCTTCCAATTAATAGTCCTGGCTGTTGTTTATAAGAAATGTTATAACTCTCACAGTTGCCTCCATTGGGTGCTTAAAATTCTGTAGGACTTTGAGAGAGAATTATGGTGTCTGAGAAATGTAACTTGAGCAATAAGTAGGAAAAACAGGGGCATGTGACTATATCAACAGTTACTGTTTTTTTTTTTTTTTCATTTAAAAATAAGGCTATAGTTCATTTTCTACTTGTTAGAAATGATTTCGGGTTTTTATTCAGCATTTTTTCTTTTTGCAAGAAAACTGAAACAAAGCTCTGGTCTTACAATCATAGAAAAAAGAGGTAGTTGATTTTATTTAATAACTTTATATGTAAAAAGTAAACTACAAAATATCCTTCAGAGTTTTCTTTCTGTGTGTGTGTGTGTGTGTCAATCTTAATGAAGGTTTTAAAGAAAAAAATATTTTAGACACTTAAGTTCTTAAAAATCAAACCTATTAGGGTTTTGAAATCCTTTGGCTACTTGGTCTCCCTTTAGTTTGCTCTAGTACCTGAAAAACCTACTTTTTCCAATGACAGTGGCTGTAGTTACATATATTTTCAAACTGTTTTTCTACTATTGTTATCTGTCCACAGTACAAATTTACTGAATAGGAAAAAAAAAAAAAAAAAACAGTTTCTTTTCTTTAACCAGCATGTGTATGTGTCAGAAGCGAGCCCAAGTGCATACTACAAAAGATTCTTTTAAATAAAAGTTTCTGAATATTTTAGAAATTTAAACATTAGGATTAGAAATCACCCCCTTTGCAATTCTTGCTAGACGGGTGAAGCCCAACTCCTGTTAAATACCAGACATGCCAGTCGGAGAAGGACAAACATTATATGGTCTCATTCATTTGGGGAATATAAAAAATAGTGAAAGGGAATAAAGTGGAAAGGAGAGAAAATGAGTGGGAAATATCAGTGAAGGAGACAGAACATGAGAGACTCCTAACTCTGAGAAACGAACAAGGGGTAGTGGAAGGGGAGGTGGGAGGGGGATTGGGGTGACTGGACGACGGGCACTGAGGAGGGCACCTGACAGTATGAGCACTGGGTGTTATGCTATATGTTGGCAAATCGAACTCCAATAAAAAATATACCAAAAAAAAAAAAAAAAAACCTGCATAGGGACACCTGGCTGGCTCAGTTGGAAAAGCATGTTATACTTGATCTTAGGGCCATGAGTTAGGTCCCACATCGAGTGTAGAGGTTACTTAAATAAATAAAAAACTTTAAAAAATAATAATAAATTAAATAAATAAATACATACATGCATACATACTGGACCTGCTTGGGCACTGAAATATTTTATTAATTTTATATGCACTTGATGTATGTGCCTGGACGGGTGCATGTGCCAAAAGATACTCTCAGATACACTTCATGTGTGCTTTCCTCTGGTTATGGATCACGGGTGCTGTTCGGTTAGAAGCCTCGCGGACACAGACACAGACACACACACACACACACACACACACTCTAGGGAATTAACAGCAAAATCCTCCTGTGTATTTTATGCACAATGACAGCAGCTTATGCAATTACATGACCAATGGAAAACGCCCCCTTTGCCATGTAAAATTCTTACTGGCCGGTGCAGAAATACTGCGTGGAGAGATACTTTGCATGTGTCCATGTTTTTGTGGTTCTGAGCTGGAAGAGGTCGGCCCTGCCTCATTCTCGGTCTCTCTCCCTTCTCCCCGCTCCCTTGCCGCCCGCTCCGCTTGCTCCCTTCGGCGCAGAAATCTGCTCGGTGGACTGCGGCTCGCACGGAGTGTGCATGGGAGGAAGCTGTCGCTGCGAGGAGGGCTGGACCGGCGCCGCCTGCAGCCAGCGAGCCTGCCACCCGCGCTGCGCCGAGCACGGCACCTGCAAGGACGGCAAGTGCGAATGCAGCCAGGGCTGGAACGGAGAGCACTGCACCATCGGTAGGCCCCGCCCCCCGCCCCCCCCCCGGGGAGGGGGGAGGGGAGGACAGAGGGGAGAGGGATGGGAGGAGGGAGAGGGGATGGGAGGAGGGAGAGGGGAGGGGGAAGAGGGAAGGGAGGAGGGGGAAGAGGGAAGGGAGGAGGAGGAGGGAGGGGAGGAGAAGGAGAGGGAGGGGAGAGGGGAGGAGGAGGGAGGGGAGAGTGGAGTAGGAGAGAGAGGAGGAGGGAGGGGAGGAGGAGGAGAGGGGAGGAGGGAGGGGAGGAGGAGGGAGGGGACAGGGAGGGGAGGAGAAGGAGAGGGAGGACAGAGGGGAGGAGGAGAGAGAGGGGAGGAGGGAGAGGAGGACAGAGGGGAGGGGAGAGGGGAGAGGGAGGAGAGGAGGGAGAGGGAGGAGGAGGAAGGAGGGGAGGGGGAGGGGAGAAGGGGGGAGGAGAGGAGGGAGCATCCGGGTTGCTGGCTGTTTTCCACCCCCGCCCACTGCCCCCCCCACCTTGGAATTAATTTCATTAATTTTCCACTCGTCTTTCTGAAAATGGAATTGCTTTTTCAAATAAGGCCCATCGTGTTGCAGAGGCAGCTCGCTTTTCAGAGCAGCTGTCACAAGTATGAAGTGTCAGAATATTGTACCCCCCCCCGTGATGATGGCTACAAAAACTGACTCACCCGAAGATGATTTTATTTCCTTCTTATAAACACACTTTCATTTGCCGTTGCGTGACAGCAAATAATTTATTTATTTATTTATTTATTATTATATATATATATATTATTATTTATTTATTATTACCTTAAAAGAGATGTCAAATATGGGGCCTTTCGGGGGAGCATCCAGAAATTTCCATCACCACACAGCACCTGTTGATATAGTGGAGTATTTCAAAAAGAGGTTGGACTTCTTACAGCTTTATTTTGGAGTAGCGCAAGGAACAAAGTAGAAGAAAATGCACACAAGCCTAGATGTTCTTAGAGTTCTGTGCTAACCCTTCTTCAAATATGATCATGTTCCCAAAACCCAGTAGGTTAAATAAAGCAAACAGGTGTTTAAGATCAAAATGTTGGTACATAAATGGTAGTTAGCATGGGTGCAATGTCCGGAACACACATAGTACTGTCTTTTCTGGGTACTCAGTGCCTTTCCTTTTTACCATTGGAGTCACAGAAGTTAAAATATTTATTTAAAAAAATATAACAAATGTAAGTCGTAAACGTCCACCTTACTTCAGTGAAAGTATACAATTATATACAATGTTATGAATGACATTGTCCTACAAAAATTTCATAATTTGGTGTATGTTGTTTTATATCCATAGAATATAAGTTGATAAAGCTGTTGGAGGGAGTCTCCGTATCTTAAAAGATTTCTTCTTCCGGGGCAGCTATAAGCATTATGTACTTTACTTTCTTGCTTACAAGAATTGGCTAGCTAGGAAATTTTTCACTGGAAAGTTGAAATCACGGACATTTTATAAACTGTTGCAGTCTTTACAGAAGCTCAAGTGAGATTCTTTCCAATCTTACTGACATTCCTCTCATCTGTTTTAAGGGTGGTGATCCCCCCCACCCTATGTGATGATCCACAGAAGGGCTCACAAAACTCAAGGCACTTGTGCTCATGACTGTGATAGATAAAGGGGAAAGACCCATCAGGTGGTATCTGGAGAAATCCATGCACAGGCTTGCTGTGTTGTGTTGTGTTCTTTCTCTCCCACCAAGGCAGGTCACATGGAGCATGTACTTTTCTCCAGCAGTGAACTACACCAGCATGTGTGCAAGGAACACTTGCTCTGCTGAGGGACACCCATTTGAGACTGAGAGGTTTTTATTAGGGCTGCTCTAAGAGGTAGCCTCTGTCAGCCACAACCACCAAAACTCACAATTCTCAGAAGAGATTCTCCTGGTGGGCAAAATCACCTCATCATTGTAGAGAACATTCAGTTCTCCAGATGCCAGCCAAAGGCCAGCCCTGCAGACTTCTACAGGTCAGGCCTGTTGTGTTAACTCTTACCTGGAAGCATCCTTAGGGTCTCACCTGTGAAATGTGAGTTTACTACCTTACTTCCGGGAAGCATAGTTCCCAGTGAGGAAAACTGCAAGTACACATATTCATGGCACTTGCAGAACGCTCATCCCCATCATTTTGATAGCGCTTTCCCCTCCTCTACTCTTTAAGAGAGGCTTCTAGGGCAATGGCTGCCTGTTGTTTACGTGAACTACATTTGTGAACTACATTAAAGCCACAAAGGTTGACAACCACAATTTACACAAATCTGTGGACATACAGAGGATAATGCATTACCCCTGAGACTAAATAGCTCCATACCCCAAATCCCAGAATGCCCACATACCAGAATCGGGGCAGGAAAAATAGACCTCGAATCATGCTCCATCAAATTTTATGACCCCACCACCTCCATACCCATCAGAAGTGAATTGATTCTAGCTGGGGGGGAAATGTTAAATATTTGACCATCTGTATCCTAGGAAGTATGGCAAACACGTGAATGTATAGCTTGGAAAGCCAAGAAGTGTACTATAACGTTTTCAACATACGCAAATTTAACTTGCCAACCAGCAGTTACTAAATAAATCAGTCTATGGGGTCCTCACTGACTGTGGCAATAGTACATGTTTAGTTTCCCATAGATGAGCTGTTCTTGAACAGCTTCGCAGTTTTCTGGGTGCACACGGGATGTTTGTCAGTAGCAGGTCTTTTTTGTATAGTTTGGCATTCTTCGCTGTGGTTGTTAACAATTCCATTTTCTATTTTTTTATTTTATTTTGTTGCTCTTATACTCTATATGAGTAACAATGTGGAAATAAAGGACCTGCTTCATTTAAAAATGAATCTTCAAAATGAATCTTTTAAAAGACATAGAGACCCTCACATCACTCTTTGGCTCTTTTATATTATTAGAGCTACTTATTCCCAGTTTTGGCTTGCAAGGATCCAATTATTTTTTTCCACCTATTTACTACCTATGTATGTGTCCTCAGTGGAGAAGGGGCCGTTTAAAAAGAGGCCTTTGTGAGCCACTCATTTAAACAACCCAAGAAACTACAGTACATTTTCCCATTTGGGATTGTTACTGTTCTGTGCATTTCCTCTCCATTTCAACACTTATACATCTGGCTGAAAGAAGCTGCCACTTTATGAACGAATGCTCATAAATCAGCAAGATTTTTTTTTCTTTCTCCATATTATGTGCCATCTCATTGAATACAAACAGGGAGGTTAATTGAAAGAGAGATGGAGGAGAAATTAAACAGTTAGAAGCAAACAAAAGTCACCAGTAGAAAGCAAAGAATATTCTTCATTAGTCATCATACTGTCTTCATAAACTGTTCATGCTTTCATAAAACCATAGGCATTTTGATAGTAAAATAGGCTATGAATTTAGAGTATTCACCAAACACCCTGTGTACCTGAAAAGATTCCATCTTGATAGTTTTATTAATGTGTTCATATTTTCCTCTCATTATGAATCATGCGTTCAGCAAATTGGGCATATTAATTGTCAGATTCATTGTCCCAAGTCCTTCTCCTTTCTGGGGTTAGACTTTAATTAGCAGTGCATGCAGATGAAAAACACAACAAAGGGAAATCTACCTTTTTTTTTTTTTTTTTTTTTTTTTTTTTTTTTTTAGGGGAGGGAAGAAAGGGGAACAGGCAAGAAGGAGAGGGAGAGAGAGTATCTCAAGCAGGTTCTATGCCCAGAGTAGAGCCCCAATGTAGGGCTCAGTCTCACAACCCTGAGATCATGACCTGAGCCCAAATCAGGGGTTGGACATTTAAACAACTGAGCCATGCAGGCACCCCAAAGGAAATCTACTTTCAGTGATATTATGATTAAAATAAATATTTCTCCCTTCCTCCTCAAAAAGTGTTTGATTGTTGGACCCTTTCATAAATAAAGAGAAGTTAGTTACATGACTGAACCTCCACCAATAACCAACAGTAACTATTGCTACCATAGTTTAATAGTAACAGCACTGGTATAGACGCTCAGCTACTATAATGTCATCATCCTTTGTATGTGACCATTCCACAGGAGGGTCAAATGATTATCACACTCACGTTCCTATTTTTGTTTCTCATGAGATAGGAAAGATGTAGGAGTATTTAGAGGACCCAGAAGCAAGTTAGAACATATTAAATAAAAAAAAGAACATTAAATATAATTAAGTAGTTCATAAACAGGAGTTGACATAATTGGAATATTGTGTGGCTGTCTCTGCATAAACAACCCAAACACTTCTATATCGATCAAGCTCAGATCTTTGAACTGGGAAATACTTGTCTTGGCCCAATTCAGTAATTTCACGTTAATATATTTAACTGAAACCAGAATCTATAACCACATAAAGACAACTCAGTTGCTTTGACTCTTCCTATTTGACTCTTCCTATCCTTCTTGTTTAGAAAGATGGGAAGACGGCCCTCTGTCTGGAGTTAATTGGCCGTGGAAGCAATAAAGATGCCACACCAACCTCTGCTAAACAGATGTTTGGAGACAGTCTACAGCTTTTGAGTGCAATACAGCTAAATACGCTGGTCAATGATAGATCCTAAGCTACCATGTTTTGAGTGTTACTAACCTGTAGCTTCCCCAAGAATTATTCTTTGTAGCAGTTGCTGAAAAGAAATTGTCCCTACAGCCATCCCTATGTATCTGAGAACACTGGAGGGTAGAGATGAGAATGTGACCTGAAAGGGTAAGTGGAACGGGGGTGGGGCCTGGATGACACATTTCATAGCTGTCCACCATAGAGAATTCCTAGAAAGATACGGAAGGCTCAGATCTGTCTATAGATGGGTAAACTGTCTCCTGGAGGCTGACTGGGATTTCCCATTTCCCCACAGATGGAAATGGAGAAAATGGGCTTAGACCGTTCAAATGTTGATTAGATAGAATGAAGAACCTCAGCGTGGAAGACATATTTAAATCCTGGAACAAGATCCCAAAGAAATGTTTGAATCTCGATTCCTAGAAGCTTTAGC